CGCATATAACCCGCGGGTTATATGGGTGAAAATACGGTAGTATTCTTCGTAGTCATCTGATCGTTAGCACTCTTTCTGAGAGTCATTGTGGACAGCTATTTGGGGGGGGGGGGAATTATCTGTATCTTTAGAGTCACCTCCCGAATCAGAGTGCAAATGGCTGTGGAACCTCAAAAAATATAAATATAAATTCCCCAGCATTCGGTTAGAACAGAAAAAGTTTCATGGATGAGAAGTGAAATGGTTTCAGTGGGGAAAAAAAAAACTAAGAAAGTTCAGCTACCTTTTGACTCCTTAGGGATAGCCATGGCCTGGATTAGAGGTAGGCATCACATACTATAACAATCGGTTTGCTCAGCCCCGAAAATGTGAGAGCGTGCGGTATCACAAAATACATGCAGTGTCACAAAACATGACAATTCACTCGCACACGCTGCCCACACATGCATGCGGCATCAAAAAACGCAGCAATATATAAGACAGGATTGCGCCTAGGCACCACCCGCAGGTTGCAACTACTGGTTCGCCCGAATCAGTCCAAACTGGCAGCAGCCCACCACTGGCCTGGATGATTGAGAATCTCCAAAGAGAGAACTTGGAGAATGAAAGGCCAACGGGGTTGAAGCCATCCTAATCTCCAGAGGGAGGATGCTTCAGAGGGCAGGGGTTATGGCAGAAAAGGGATGCTTCCTAGTCCCTGCCAGCCAACATTCCTTGACTGATGGGAGCCAGACCATGCCCATCCTGCCAGACCAGAATGGATGGATAGAAACAACTGGGAGAAGATAGTCCTCGGGTAAACAATCCCAAGCCAGGAAGGGCTTTAAAGGTGACAACCTTGAATTGCGCCCTTTGTAACCGTCAACTCGTAAAAGCATCCCTGGCCTGCTCTTGAGTTGCCATCGGCAGGAGGGGGGGGGAGAACTGACGGAGCAGTTCGGCTGCCACAATCAGAAGCACATTCCATGCATACCTTTGTCACAGTTGGGTCTCAGGTTACCAGAGCCAGCCTGAGTGGCATGTTTTCTACAGCCTGTGAAAGTGCTCCATTAGAGAATGTGATTTATGACATACCCTGGGAGGAGGAAGGAAACAGGATCACAGCTGGGCCGTAAATCACATGGGGCAGAGCTGACTTCACTTTGGTATGTGCTGGCATGTTGCTCCTAATAAATAACTGGATTTCTTTTGAAACTTGGCTCGAGGCTCATGAGTTAATTAGGGCATCCATGGAACCCCTGACAGTAAACTTTGTAGTTCACAGAGCAGAGGTGCCTCATGCACTGAGTAACTCAAACCATTTACACCTCGGGTGGTAACTGGAGCAGTTCCTCAGCAGTTGAAGCTTCCAAATGCTCTTCAAGGGCAGCCCCGCGTAGAGCACATTGCGGTTATCCAGAGTGCTTGAGCTGCTCTTCCTTTGGGTGTGAATGAATTCCTGTGATTTGCTCCTCAGCCCTCCATGCCGTTCCTCTCCATCTACTCGCTGTCCCTGGAGCAAGACATGGAATACAGTCTCAACTGCCTTCAAGCAGCCACCACTTTGCGAACCGAAACATATATGCAGGTAAAAAGAAGACAGTGGCAAAATTGGGGTTCGGATTCTTCTTTTACAGATTAACAGAGTTGGAAGGGACCGTGTAGGCCAGTGATGGCGAACCTATGACACGCGTGTCAGTG